TAAAACTGAGGAGAAATTTCTTGATAGCGAGGACAATCAATGGAACAATTTGCCTCCAGGAGCTGCGGGTGCTCCATTGCTGGAGGTTTTCAAGAATAGACTGGACTTCTGAGGTCTCTTCCAGCCCTTGGGGTTGGTTTGGGCCTGCCCCTGACAGAGGGCACTATTACTATATTATTTATGTTATGTTTTCTTCATTTTTAATGCATTGCGTGTGGGTTTTTTTTGTATGCTGGTCAAAGCCAATCGGAATTGAAATGCAACAGAAATCTTAATGCTGTGATGAATAAATAATTGAAAAAAAGTCAGCCTCAGAATATAGATCAGTTCAATAAATCAACTCCACATTGACTAAAATGGCTTTTTTTAAAAAATTAAGATTGGCTATAGAAGCAGAATCATCCAAGTCTGACTGTGTTTTCTTTCTTCTCTTTGTTATGCTCATGTGAATTAGGGAGACATATGCCTAAGATGTTTACACATACTTTCTTCATCGTTTAGGCTTAAGCAATATGTTTGCTTGTTGCCTTGGCCTATCTCTGAGGCTCTGCACACTTCATTCTCTAACTTACACAGTTGTCAAGCCCAAGCAACCACACCCACATGTGTAGAATTCAAGCATTATTATATTCTGCCTGTCATACAGGAACCTCCTCAGACTGGTGGCCTTAGCATGGGGACAGATAGATAAGGCTTTATTGAAGCTTAAGCGGGGTGGGTGGGTCCATTCTGGATCTCTTGTGGCTCTGCAAGAACTCAAAAATAATTTTGCCCTCCCTTCTTCCTGGCTGAGTGTCTCCCAACCATAGCTCAAATTAGAAGTTGATAGGCCTCAGTAGCACTTAGGATTAAAGACAAAAAAACATTCTTTCGAACATGCCAGGATGCATATGGAGCCCCTGTCCATAACACCGTGGATGTGTCTTTTCCTGATACCTCTTCAACTGCAGAGGATAAATGGACAATCCCAGGGAAAAATGTAGCTGCTTTAAGGAACTGCTTGCAAGCGCTAAGTTAACATCCTGACATGTTCCCCAAATGCCCTCTTGTCCCACAAGTCTAAGTGACATACTGCCGTAGAAGTTAACACTGCCACTGTCACTGTTTTATAAATTTCAATCTTTTTTTCTGATGGGGGAGCTTTTTCTTATTACTTTGTGTACCATAAGGCAGCAGAGAAGTATTTCAGCAATTAATATTTTATCCTTCCGTTAAAAATTGCCAGAGAGGGAATTATGCAATACCTAATTTTAAGAGACAGAGGAACAGTTAAATCTAGCAGCGGCAACGTTAATTAAACTTCAGCGAAATGTTGGAAAGCTTCTATATTCAACAAGCTTCTATTCTATATTTGGTGCAACAAATCTTTTTCTTCAGTCATATCCACCCACCGTATTATGCAATGATTCTTAACAGTCAAATTGCAAAAATGGGAGAGCCTGAAAAGCTGCAAAAGAAATTTCACTTATTTCACTGATATGTAGCCAGCTTACTAGCATCCAGATATGACAACAAAAGCAATGTTCCTTGAAATACTTGAAATCCTAAATTGCATTAACGAGGGATACAATCAAGATCAAGTGAGGTACTAATACAACTGTATAAGACCATACCTAGAGTACTGCATCCAGTTTTGATCACCACACCCCTTTGTGGAGATTCTAGAAAGAGTGTAGAGAAGAGCAACCAAGATGATTAGGGGACTGAAGGCTAAAACATATGATGAACGGTTGCAGGAACTGGGCTTGGCTAGTCTAGTAAAGAGAAGGACCACGGGAGACATGATAGCGGTCTTCCAATATTTGAGGGGCTGCCACAGGGGGGAAGGGGTCAAGCTATTTTCCAAAGCACCTGAAGGTCAGACAAGGAATAATGGACAGAAACTGATCAAGGAGAGATTCAACCTGGAAATAAGGAGAAATTTTCTGACAGTGCGAACAATCAATCGATGGAACAGAAATTGCCCTCGGAAGTTGTGGGAGCTTCATCACTGGAGGCTTTCAAGATGAGACTGGACTGCACCTGTCAGAAATGGTGTAGGTTCTGCTTGGGCAGGGGGTTTGACTAGATGACCTACAAGGTCCCTTCCAACTCTGTTAATCTGTATCTGTATCTACTTTTATGTATTTGTTTATACACACTTACAAACTTCGTATACCACCTATCTCAGAGGCTTGGGACCATTAAAATAACAATATCCACACAAATAAAAATCCCCAATGCAACAAATCCCCAAAATATAACAGAGTTAACCTGAATCCCCTTTCAACACCAAATTTTTAATGGAATTTGTAGTTTTAACAATCTTGAGAAAAGTTAGCTGGATGGGGATCACTACAGAACACTGTTCCAGTGCAGGCTGGAGAAGGAGGAATGCTTTCAGAGCCCTAAACTCATGTAGGGTAGGGTCTGTACAGTGGTGGGATTCAATTGTTTTTTACTACCGGTTGTGTCAGCGGGGCTCGGTGGGTGGGGCAGGGGAAGAATACTGTCAAATCTCCAGTCAGAGGTGGTATTTGCCAGTTCTCCGAACTACTCAAAATTTCCGCTACCGGTTCCCCAGAACTGGTCAGAACCTGCTGAATGCCACCTCTGGGTCTTTACCTTCTTGAGATGAATGCAGAGAACAAGAGAAATGAGTGCTGGAAATGAGAGAGCTGGCTCTGGAGACACACAGAGGCTTAAACCACAAAGAGATTTGAAAGTTAAGGACAGATCTGATTATACCAGAAATGTAAAAAAAACTTCTGACATGTGATGGTTGGGAAGATATGTCAAGGCATGTCAAACTCCATTTCATTGAGGGCCACATCAGGATTGTGTTTGACCTCTGGGAGGGGAGGTGTGGCCGGGTGTGTGCGGCCAGCTTGATGTCATTCATGTCAGAGGTGCCTGTGGTGGCCTGAGAGCTATGCCAGCGAAAAAGGGCTCCCAAGCTCCGTTTTCAGCTGCGATGGCCTCTGCCACCCTCTGCAAGTGAAACTGGAGCTCAGAAGGGCTGCAGGCAGCCCTCCCGAGATCTGTTTTCACTGGCAGAGGCACCACAGGCCGGTTCTTTGCTGTTTCCCAGTGGCCCCGTGGGCCAGATCTAAGCATCCCATGGGCCAGATCCAGCCCATGGGCCTTGAGTTTGACACCCCTGGTTAAGATGCTGGAGTGATACAAAGAAGACTCACATTCAATCAAATGTCTGAAAGCTCACTTGGTGACCTTGAGCCAGTCACTAATTTAGCTGAACCTTTTTCAAAGGGTTGTTATTGTAGGGGAAAAATGAGAAAAAAATAATATAGCACTTTTTAAACTTCCTGGATGAATGGTAGGATATAAATATAATCAATAAAATATTCCCTGTATTTATCCAGTGCTTTGGGTCTATTATGTGAGTTGTCTGGTTTTGGCTTAATCATTAAACAAACTCAGCCACTGTGTTCAGTAAACCAATCCAGGTTTATGAGATATTGTATGGTGATATGTGGAACGGGGTTAACTCTGGCTTATTCGATGAAATTTAGGGAGCTCTGTGAATAGAGTGGTTTAAAGAAACATTTCAATATCCATAAAGTTTTTGCAATAAAGCTTTATGGAAGGGGAAAAAAATGACTCAGGAGTTTCAACTCATCTCAGAGCTAACAAATAAAACAAAAGAGGAATCTAAAACACATACAAAAGAATCAGAAAGAAATAAAAGGTTTTTAGTTTTGTGAGAAAACCAGCAACAGGGAAAACAAATTTAACCATACTAGCCTTGAGAACGTTTTGTTTTGATGAACCTTCTAATTCACCTTTCAAGGTCACCTCATGGAGTCAATATAAGAGCTCATCTGTCCACTTTCTTTTCATGACATGGCACAGAGCAAGTTATTTTTAACTGAGGAGTTTGGAGCAAGCAAGTCCACAACATTTTAGAACAACCACTAGAGAGATCTTGTTACTTTCACTGTGCCTTGAATGTAAAAAAAAAAACCCTTTATCATATTAGTACAATTTAGTTGCCTTTGGCTGCTCTAGACTTAAAGACCATGTTAGTTCAAATAAAATAAAGAGATTACGTTTTTGCTAAATTGTTATTTATTTATTCTTCAAACCTGAAATTAGACAAAAAAAAAATCAAGTTTGGCTCTAATAAGAAAAAGCTCTTCACTCAAGGTCCAATACAGACTCTCAATATAGATTCCTATCTCAGAAAGATGCAACACGGAAGGACCAAAGTCACTTCCCTTCATATTTGCATTTTTGGTTTTCAGGAGATCTCCAGATCCAATCAGTATATAGGCAGCAAGAAAGATAAAATATGCCATCCTCCTCCTAACAACTGTTCGCATCAAATTCAAAGTTCTTTATAATTATATTTAGATGCAAATGAGTACATTACTGCATACACAGCATATACATGCCCTATTTTTTAGTTTGGTTGGTTTGTTTGTTTGTTTGTCAAATTTATAAAATCACCTCACAATTTGTGAGTACATCAATAATTATAAAAGAACCCAAATTAAATCAAAAGATAAAGATACAGCCAAGTCTGAGTGTAATATAGCCCTCTGTAAGGAAATCTCCAGATATACTGAAACATAATTGCCAATAATGGGTAATGAATTAATTAATTCTTAAGGAAAACAAAACATAGCTAAGCTTAATGTATAGTTGGGGACCAACAAAATAATAATAATAATAAAGGTGGTATTCAGCAGGTTCTAACCAGTTCTGGAGAACTGGTAGCGGAAATTTTGAATAGTCTGGAGAACCGCCTCTGACTGGCCCCACCCCCATCTACTCTCTGCCTCCTGAGTCCCAGATGATTGACTGGGACTTCTTTTGCTGCCCTGCACAGGAGAACGGAGCAGGAAAGCAGGTTAGTGGAATGGGGAGGGAATGGGATTTTGCAGTAACCTTCCCCCGCCACGTCCACCAAGCCACTCCCACAGAACCAGTAGTAAAAAAATTTGAATCCCACCACAGGCGCAACCGCAATAAAATGTGCAAACATCTTAAATACTTACAGGGTCTCTCAGTTCGTCATAGCCTGATGTACGAGGTATTTTCATAGGGATTTCATCTCCACATTCAGTATCTGAAGCACTGGGAGATTCTGCTAAGTCCGGGAACTCATCTCTCTTATGTCCTCTGAACCTTATTTTGTCCAGCCTCTTTAGCATGTTCAGCACTGCACCTTTCTGCTTTATCTTAACATGACGGTTGGAGTCCCTGAAGAACACAAATGGAAGAAGAAGAGGAAAGTATAAGATTATTATAAGGACATGTATTGGTTCTGTACCGCATCAATCCCACAATTCTTGGCAGTGCCCAAGAACACCCAAAGCAATCTTATGGTCTATAGTGATCTGAATAAAAACACTCAGAAAAATAACAATTAAAAATTATCAATTTCTCTTCCCATTTGAACTCAAAGAAGTTTCCAAAATCATTCTAAAAGCAAGAGAAGAAGAGGTCAAAAATATTTCAAGGGATATTATGTCACAATTGGAGACACAACTGATAAGGTTTGTTTTCTGCTCCATACAGTCCTCACTTTAAATGAGGAGAACACTCTGAGAAAGACTTTTACTGAACACTTAAAAAGATAGGAAGGTTTATTTTGGATTTGTGTGAGCAACCCAAAGTCATATATTTCAGATTGAAAACCATGTAAATTGAAATAACAAATAAAGTGGCCCTCACTTGTGATAGAAGAAATACTGTAATTATATTATACAGAATGTCCTTATTACTAAAAGCCATCACACTGCAGAAACCATGTTTTTTTAAAAAATAATAATTTGAATTCACGTTTTATTTTACCAAATGACTTTCTACAGAAAGATAATACTTTTTGCCCATGAAAATTTCAGACTGCATTCAGATTCAGTCATATTTAAACCAGATATGCTAAATCTATGGGATACATTAAATCAGTTGCTTATACTGATTTCAATAAGTCATTACTAAATAAATCTCTATCAAATCCACGTTCCTTTCCCTCAGACACATAATGGAAATGACTGTTGGGTCAAAGTGTGTGTATTTTATCTAATTAAACATACATTCCACCAATATAAAATTTTAGTTGACTTAATAGAATATGAATGCATGTCATTCATTATAAAGATCTAGAAATTTATTGTTTCTAAGTGTACAGTATGAGCTAAGAAATTCTAGGTTTGGTTCTCATAAGTTTAGGAAAACGTATCCTTAGCCCAGCATAGTACAGAGATAAAAGTACTAATATTACTAATACCGGTATTATTTATAGAAGCAGTACTAATAAGCTAGCATCAGTATAAAATTAAGAAATGTACCAAAGAGGGCCAACAGAGGAAAACATAGCCCTGATATGTTCATGTACTTTTTTTTCAGATTTGCGTGCAATAACTTTGATTGGCTTACATTCAGCATTCCAAGAAGATTAAAGCACAATAATTTAACAATTATCTACCTAACAAATGAAAAGAATCACAGTAATACACAGCCAGTCCTTCACACAGCAAATGAACATAAAACTTATCCAGAATCAAAAATGAAATCCTACTGGAATCCATAAGCTTCCATACTGACAACTGCCCATCTGGCTAGGATTGCTGTTAAACCTGTTTCTCCCCATTCCAACATTTACAAGTCACGGGAACAAAAGTTTATGTGCAATTTTTATTTGGAGAGATATATATCCAAGCACCATAAGCATATTGATGAAACCTCACACGGCCCATCAGATTACTTCCCCATTGGCTTCATGTGGTTATTAGGGGAGGGGAGAGAGTTGAGCCCTATGGCAGTCCACAAAAGAGAAGCCATACACCCAACCACTCCTACCAGCTCCACTGCCATCATCCGTAACAATCTGCCCAGGAAGGACAACCAAGACAAAAGTGTCCTCCCTAGACAATCTTTGCAGATGATCCAGAAGCAACTTACAGGCTATAACATCAATGCCAGTAGCAGACTCCCAATATCACTGCACCTAGAACATAATGTTCTTTCTTGTCCCATGCTTATGACCTCAAACCAAGTATGACTTGAACTGGAAAAAAAAAATCGACAGCTGGGAACATGTACGAATTAGAAGAGGAAAATCCTCAGAAATCTTAAGAAATTGCTTAGAGCAAAAAAAAGCTCAAAAACTTAAAACAAGCCATGAAATATGCAGATCTGCATTCCTGGAAATAACATATTATTGTGTCACTGACTCTTTCCTCTTTTATGGCATTCTCCTATTCACATGACACAACCATAGATATATTCAATATCATTCATATACAGGAATATATATTTTCCCACAATCTTTTACAACTGCCTAACATTTAGTAATGCTAGCTATCCCTTTTCTTAATTGGTTGTCCTGCCAAACCAGCAACACACAGTCCCATCTGTCTCAAGTTCCTTGTAAGCAGTCTGAAAATTCACCATAAACTATTCTCTAACACTTCAATAGGTGGAGTAAAAATCCATGTGTTCCAACACCATGAGAAGACAAAGGGCACATCTTTCATTTTTATTTTACATCTAAGTCTTCTTGCATGAAGGTCAATTTTTGCCCAGTCCTCAGGTGTATTTTCCCCCAAAGTTCATACTGTGTGATACTACAACTAAAGGCACACAAGAACACATAACAGTAGACCTCATTATCAAAACGCTACCTTTCCATCATATGTCTCACTACCGCCCATTTGCTTGGCCCACAGAGAAGCAAAGCAACACCTACCTTTTAGCCCAACCCATGTCATAAAAAACCCAAAAGACTTTTAGAAAGATTGTGATTATGGTTTTATTTTATATTTATATATAAAAAAAAACTTCCAACTATAGTAACTTTGCCCATTTAAGAGTCATTTTCTCGTTCTTTTGATTTCCACATATATACTTTTAAGTCCATGCATCTTAGAAAGCAGCCATTTGTTCACTGAAACTCACACCCCAACATCTTGTAAACTATGATAAGATGTTTTGCTGAACCAACTAGCGTATCAAACTCTGGAATAAATCCACTCCTCTTAAACGGAAGCTTTTCTTTAGCTGCCAACATGTAAGAGGCCAGTATCTCCTTACGTAACACAAAAGTTTGAAGGAGAATTCTTTGAGGCGGAGAAACTTCAGAAACGTAATGTATATATATTGATATATTCAAGCTGTCTAAACCAGCTAGTTTAAAGTACGGTAATTATCATTACAAATCCATATAGGCTAAAAAAGAAGTAGCCCTTCCTGAATATCGTGGGGCTTGTTCTCTAACAAATGCACTTAGAATTACACTACTGTGCTTTACTTCAATAACCCTTCTGAATTAAAATTTGAGAAACATTTTGAAATTATTCTATAGGAAAAAAGTTTCTGAACTGCCTAACTTATTACACTTCATATATATTGCATACTTCATCCAGATCATTGTAAAAAGTTTTTTTCTTGTACCATTAATAATGTACCATCAAAATTAAGATGCACATATTAGTGAAATGAAATATGTTTATTATGTTCTTTTCTCAAACAGTTTTTTGAAGTCTCAGAAAATCTAAGTACGAGCTATAAATCCTGATTCCATTCTTTTTTGTCCCATTATCTACTATTGGTTACTAAGCTAATAGTTATAGAGTACCTTTTAAATCATTAAGATCATTATAAGTGCATTTGCTTCATCATGGGCTTTTTTTCTAGTGGTACATATTTTCTGAAATTGCCCCCCCCATCCCAAAAAGTAATTTGAGCACCCATGATTAAATTCTTTAAGTGCCTTTTGCTTAAAAATGTCAAAATGCTGCACTAAGAGTATTGGCAATTTCCTGGGAAATCTGGAAGTTTCTGTTCTTCCTAGAGTCCATAGTGATTCAGTTATTTTCAAGGGTGGCCAGGAAGTTATATGGGAGTAAATCTTCCACTACTGTAGTACTGGGGATGATTAGAAACACTCTGAAAGATTTACTTCCAAAAGAATGGACCAGCAAAGTCCAGAAAACATTCTAGAATATTCCATCATGGGGTATTCTTTGCATACTACTGATGACTAATCCAGGTCTTTCCTTTATGAATGTTTAACGAATGGAACTATATCTACGTGGAGGGAAACACGCAGTGTTTGGAAGGGACACTTTGGAAGGGACAGTCAAAATTTAGATTCTTAACAGATTTCAGCATTGGGTCCTATCTAACAAGCTGCAGTTTAGTGCTAAGAAAAGTAAGGTCTTAACACTTAGGCAAGAAAAACAAAATGTTCAGGTACAGGATAGGTAGTAACTGGCTCAACCTAGTAGTAACAGTAAAAGGAGTCTGAGTATCATTTAAGTATGAGTCAGCAGTGGGCCAATGCAGTCCTAGGTTGCATCAACAGAGTGATAGCATCTAGGAACATCAAGGGAAGTGAGAGCCATTTTGGTCTAGTGGTTAAAGCACCAGGATAGAAAACAAGAGACCGTGACTTCAAGTCCTACTTTAGCCATGAAAACTTAGCTGGGTAACCTTAGGCTAGTCACTCTCGGTCAAACTCACCTCACAGGGTTGTTGTGATAGGGAAAACAGGAGGAGGAAGGCATGTTGCATATGTTCGCCACTTTGAGTTATTTGTAAAAATAAAAGATATAAATAAGTAAATAAAAATGACAGTACCACATTACACTGCACCAGTGAGGCCACCCTTGGAATATCACATCCAGTTCTGGTCACCATAATACAAAAAAGGTGTTGAGACCTTACAAAGAGCGCACAGAAGAACAACAAAGACGATAAGGGATTGGGACACTACGTTCAGAGGTGGGATTCAGAAATTTTGAGTAGTTCGGAGAATCGCCAAATACCCCCTCTGACTGGCCCCACCCCCATCTATTCTCTGCCTCCCGAGTCCCAGCTGATTGGCTGGGTCTTCTTTGGTTGCCCTGCACAGGAGAACGGAGCTGGAAAGCAGGTTAGTGGGGTGGGGAGGGAATGGGATTTTGCAGAAAACCTTGCCCCAGGAGCGGGGAGGGAATGGAGATTTTACAGTATCCTACCCCTGCCATGCCCACCAAGCCATGCCCAGTAGTAAAAAAAAATTGAATCCCACCACTGACTACATTGTATGATGAACAGCTGTGGGAACTAAGTATGTTTAGCCTAATGAAGGTAAGGCTCAGGGAAGACCTGAGGGCTGTCACAGGGAAGAAGGAGGTCAAGAGGGGATCAACCTGAGTAGGAGAAGAAGGAAAGGATGGAAGCTCATCAGAGAGATGTAGAAATATTCCTAGAAA